AAAAAAAAAAAAAAAGAGTGCACTTATCAAAAAAAAGGAGGGAGGTACCTGTGTACTCAGTTGCTTAAGTATCCATCTTAGTTAGGCTCAGATCATAATCTCGTGGTTCATGAGTTCAAGCCCCACATCAGACTCTGTCCTGACAGCTTGGAGTCTGGAGCATGCTTCAAATTCTGTCTCCCTCTCTCTGTCCCTTCCCAGCTCACACTCTGTCTCTCTCTCTCAAAAATAAATAAACATTAAAAATTTTTTAAATAAAATCTTTAATAGAAATAAATACACACTCATAAAAATGTATTAATTGAATTAAAGTTTTGCTTAATTCATGCTATGTTTGGCAAACAATTCAATTTCAAAGTTGTGGATAAAAATGAATTATATGAATTATAATAAAACTATAAGCATCTATGTTTTTGAGACTATTGTTCAGCTATAGATTAAGATTCATTTTAATTTCAAATAATTGTAATTATTTTGTGTCCATGAATATTAAAATATTGGTTCCTATCCAGATATATGAAATACTATTATATTTCCAAGTTAACTTTAAAATGTGAAAGTAGTAATACAATTGCAGAAAATGAAAAAAAAAGAAAATATACACAAAGAGACAAGTTATTTTTATTTTTAAAACATTTTTTTTAACGATTTATTTTTGAGACAGAGAGAGACAGAGCATGAACGGGGGAGGGTCAGAGAGAGAGGGAGACACAGTATCTGAAACAGGCTCCAGGCTCTGAACCATCAGCCCAGAGCCCGACGCGGGGCTCGAACTCATAGACTGTGAGATCATGACCTGAGCTGAAGTCGGACGCTTAACCGACTGAGCCACCCAGGCGCCCCGAGACAAGTTATTTTTAAAAAAAGAAAGAAGAAAAAAAAAATTCTGGAAGTAAAAAATATATCTGAAATAAAAAGTTTACCATAGGGGCTCAAGAGCTGATTTCATCTCATGAAGAAAAAAAAAAAAATGAAGTCTAATGAAGCATAGTCTTCACTAGTTGTTTATCTAGTGATTATGTTACCAACATAAGTACCACAGTCTTAAGAAATTTCAGAAAGGATAACAAAATGTGAGAGCAGTAATGTAGTAGGCAAGTAGAGAATGAGGAGATGATCTTTAAATGGAAAGGTAGACAGGAACCAAAATGTTTTGGTTTAACTTATTTTTGTTAAAATTCAACAAACATTTCTGGAATATCTGTTATGCACTATGATAACACTTAAAATATAAATTTAAGGGGCGCCTGGGTGGCTCAGTCAGTTGAGCATCTGACTCTTGATTTTGGCTCAGGTCATGATCTCAGGGTTGTGGGATCAAGCTCCATGTCATCTCTGTGCTGGGCATGGAGCCTGCTTGAGATTCTCTCTCTCTCTGTCTCTCTCTCTGTCTCTCTCTCATTCTCTCTCTCCCCCTCTCCCTCCCTCTCTCCCCACTTGTTTGCTCTCTCTCTCTCTCTAAAAATAAATCTTTTACTTTTTTTTTTAACATTTATTTATCTTTGAGAGAGACAAAGCATGAGTGGAGGGAAGGACAGAGAGAGAGGGAGACACAGAATCTGTCAGCACACAGCCCAACACGGGGCTCAAACCCACAAACCATGAGATCATAACCTGAACCAAAGTCAGACACGCAACTGACTGAGCCACCCAGGCGTGTCCCAAAAATAAATCTTAAACACACACACACACACACATATATATGTGGGGTTTGTTTTTTTTTTTTAATGTATATATATTTAGTTCAGCAAATTCAGCTATACAGCAAACATTTATTGAGAATCCAATATGCCAAATGTGGAAAAAAAGAGGAACAAAACCCAAATGGTACCTTCAAAGAGCTCAAAATCTAAAAGAGATTCAAAGTGATCAATTCAATGTGATAAATACAAATAAATATAGTTTTAAAAATATGTGTAAGATTTAGGTGTAGCTCCTAGGTAGGTTACTAAGGGATGTTGGGGGTGGGGGGGGGCGGCGGACACAGAAAGCTTTGCCAAGTGGGTGCTGCCTGACCTGGAATTCAACTAAGTAACCAGTAGGAAGAGGTGAGTGAAACCAGGCAGATAAAACCGTATGTGTAAAGTCTAGGATAACAAAGAACAGCAGGCTAGTTTGGGAAATGACAGTAGTCACCAGTATTACAGAATAAAACAAGTATGATGAGAGATGAGGTTGCAGAGAGAAGTCTCTTATATTAAGTTGCTTGAACTTTATCCTATAGGGGATAAAGAGTCACTACACAGACTTAAAGGTTTCAAAAGAAGAAAATCAATTAGATCTAAAGCAGTGGCTAAAAGGGTGGAGAGGACAAACTCAGGAGACAAAGATGGAACAAAATCAATGACCTAATGATCAGTTCTCACTGCATTATCAAGTGCACCTTCAGACAAATGTTGATATTGTGTTTCACTTCTGGACAAAATGGAGACAATGCAATAATGCTACCAAGTCAATAGCCTGGAAAACTAAGAAAGGGAGGGAAAAGAGTACTAGCTTAGTTTCAGACCAATTAGAGATCCAGTCAGATGCATATGTGCTGTTATTGATCAAGCACCTGATACATAAGCAGAGTTCAAGAGAGAAAGCAAATCAATAATTATGTAGTAGTGATAAAACCAAGGAATGCTAAAACACTGTCTAGAGAGAGTACATAAAGTAGGAGAGAAAAGGCTATTAGCAGAAATATAAAAAATACTTATATTTATAGAGTAGTCAGAGGAGGTTAACCAAAGAAGACTGGGAGTAATCAGAAAGGCTGAAAGGATACCACAAAAGAGAGGAAACCCCACTCTCTTTGAAATCATTAAAAAAAAAAAAAGCAAGAAAAACAGGAATAAAACTCTATCCTTGATGAAACTAAGAAACATCTGAAGCTACAAAACAAATGGGAAAGCTGCCAAAGTGTAGATCCAATAGGGATATGGAAGGAAACAGAGAACATACCCACCCAGGGCTACAAACTGAGAAAGAACCATCATGGCACATACTTCCTAGATGAGAGGGAGCCACTAATAGGCCAAATCAAAAAATCCTTGTTTACAACAGTTCAAGTGGGGCACACAACTGGTGGAGAGATTCTCCAGGCCAGATTCAGTTTTGAGAAGCAGAGAAACCCAAACAAACAAGAAATCACACAGAGAAGCCATTTTCATAGAAAGCAGTCTCTGTGGTAGGGGGAAAAAAACAAACACTTCATAGCAGACCTCCTGCAGCCTACCGGCTAGGGAAATGTGGTAATTAAAATAAGTTCTCCACACATAATCTCTAATCATGAGGAAAAAGTGCAGTTGGCCTTGTACACAACCTGAGAATAATTTTTGCATAAAAATATTCAGTAAGCACTGCCTGTACTAGCTAAAAAATAAAACCAACTAAATAGCCATTGAAAAATGGATGATATTAGTCTAAGAATAATTATAACATGCCTGAAAGAAATGGAATACATAAATGCCATCATAGTTAAGCCTCAAAAATACATTGTTGAACACAAAAAGCTGCAGGATGATGAACACAGTATAATGTCATTTATATAAAATGTTATTAAAAACAATGATACAATCATTTAATAACAACATAAAACATAGATAGTATTTTTTTAATTTATTTTGAGAGAGAGAGAGAAAAGGAGAGCATGCCCAAGGGCAAGGGAGGGGGCAGGGGGAAGGGAGAGAGAGAGAGACAGAGAGAGAGAGAGAGAGAGAGAGAGAGAGAGAGAGAGAGAGGCCCAAGCAGGCTCCACGGTGAATGGGGCTCAATCCCATGACCCTAGGATTATGACCTGAGCCCAAATTAAAAGTCTGACGCTCAACTGACTGAGCCACACAGGTGCCCCTACATGGGAATATCAAACACCAAATGCAGGGTAATAGTTACTTCTGGAGTTGTTAGGGGAGGAATGGCACCCGTGAGGAGTGCTAAGGGACTTCAAATACATCTGTGAGGTTCCATTTATTTTCTAAAAATCTAAAGCAACCATAGCAAAAATATTAAGATTTGATAGAATTAGGTATTCATATGTTACCCTCTGTAAGTTACCCTCCAGGCTTGCCTTTGGAACTCAGCCACCACATTGTGAGGAATCACAAATTAGCCCAGGTGGAGAGGCCTCACATAAAAGTTCACATGGAGAGGAATTAAGGCAGCCAGCCTGTAGCTTGCATCTTCCACCAGACATCTGCGTGAACAAGCCTTCAGAAGATTTCAGGCTCAGTATTTCAATCTTCTAGCTGAAGCCCCAGACATCATGAAAAAGAGACAAGCTATCCATGAGATTCAAATTCCTGATTCGCTTCTGAGTATCAATGTTTATTTTATGCCACTAACTTTTGGGATAATTTGTTACAAAGGTACAGTAACCAGAACAACAAATATCACGATGAATTGAAAAAGAAAAATACTTCTGGGGCGCATGGGTAGCTAAGTCGGTTGAGCATCCAGCTCCTGATCTCAGCCCAGGTCGTGATCTCACAGTTCGTGGGTTTGAGCCCCCTTGGGGCTCTGCTCTGACAGTGCGGAGCCTGCTTGGAATTCTCTCTCTCCTTCCCTCTCTGCCCCTCCCGGCTGATGCTCTATCTCTCTCAAAAAATAAATAAATAAATAAATAAACAAACAAACAAACAAACTTTAAAAAAAGAGGAAAAAGAAAAATATTTCAAATACCTAGCATAAAGTCTCAGTCCTATTTGCTAAATCTTCAAAATTGCTAACAGCTGTAAACTTACTTCAGTTTAATAATTTATACAGCTTCTTACCTCCAAACTTCCAGAATGTGCTGCCCAATGTAAAGGGGAAAACTTATGGAGAATGTCAACTTCATTAATGCTGGCTCCGCGTTCTATTATTTCTGAAAGCTGCTTTACATCTCCAGCCCGTACTGCATCATGTATGTTACCAAAATGCACTTTCTTCTGGGCACCTATTGAAAAATTGCTTAAAATATATTACAAAAAAAAAAAAAAAAAAAAAAAAAAAAAAAAAAAAGCCTAAAGCAATGATTCAATAGAAAGCACAAAATCACTTTGATTTTCCAAATAATTTATTACAAACATATTTGTGGTTAACATCTTAATCAGACTTCCATTTCAGCTCTAACACATAAAGAGCATTGAAGTTGTCACTCGCATAGATACAGGAAAAAAGCTGTCAAACAGAAAATCAATTACTTTTCTTGGACTTATCAGAGAGCTGAGGTCTCAAGGCCAACTGCGTCCTCAAGTCTGGAGAGACACACAAATACAGAAGCACAAACAAGTTCAGCTTACCTGGAGCAGAAGCCACTGGAGCCATAAACTCCTAGAAGCACTGAAATGGTAACTGTGACAAATTGCTAGATGTCGGGAAAGCATTAGCCTACTAGTGAGAAACTCTTGAGGCCACAGTCTTAGAAGGCCCCCACATTTTCATAGATTTTACCCCACTAGGGTAAATCCCACCAGGTTATCACTGTGAAAAGTCAAGAAGACTCTTTTCATGTCTTCGGCAGGGGAAGGGGGAAAGTAATGATTCTGAAATATACGCAGTGCATTCTCTGTAACAAAGGCCTACTCTCCAGTGATAAAGACTTTACAAGAGCTTCACCTCACATAGGCTGATACATTCTATCAATATACTTTTCTTATCTTTCTCATACTACTACACTAAGAAAGGAATGGCAGGTCACAATTTTTACTTCATACACCCTAGGGGTCTTATGTTTTATAATTTAATGTTCCAAACATCACAAAACTGCACTGTGACTGTGAAATATTTAATGTGTACTGTAAGCCAGAAGCAATACAGATATCTCAGCATGAACAGATGTTGGGGGAGGAAGAGTACAGAGTTTAATCAAAGCATTTCCTAAACAAAAAGTCATGATTCCTGACCTCAAACTGTTTTCAAAAGAACTCACCAACATTTCTGGTAGAAAATCTAGGCAATCTTGTACTACTACTTATCCATGTGTATGTCCTTTCTCAATAACTCAAATGTTAATTTCTTTGAGGGATGGAATTGCATCTCATGCCACCCCTTAGCAAAATGCTGTAACATTTTATTCAAAATCCTTTCTGAGCATCTAGCACATTCCAGGCACTAAGATAATATGATGCAAATGAACAGGGATTTAATGCATTTTATTTCCACCAACACTTTAAAATGTATTTGGATAAATTCAATAAAATAAAAAAAAATGACAGTATTGCCTTAAGTGAGTATAGGTGAAATTAAGACGTTGGAGTAGTAAACATGTGAGCAAGATCTTGAAGAACAATTAAGAAATATGCATATGGGGAAGGGAGTAAGGAGGGCACCAAAAATAACCAAGCCACTTAATGACGTTTAATGACGTAATCCCCTAGGTCAGACTTTCATTATTCTCCTTTAAACTAGTAATACAAGATCTACAAATGATGTTCTACTCACTCTAATCCATTTTATACAGGACATTCTAATCCATCATGTACAAGGACACTATCCTGATCACTCCATGCCTCTATTCCACTAACTGCATCTGGTTATCCACTGCTAGTCTAGAGAACAAAGCCCAAACCCTCAGTATGACAATGTATGCCCTCCACTAACTTGGCTACATCTAACTTTACAGACTTTTCTCCCCCACCACATTCCATCCCAATTCATTCATTCATCCACCCATGTATCCACTCAACATTAATTTGGTCTCTACCATAAAGATAAAAAGATGAAGGCAACATGGTCTCTATCCTCAAAGAACTCACAGAAAGATACAAACAAAAAAATTGTAAAATAATACAATAAGAACAATGACAAATATTCATAAAAACTTATGGAAGCACAGAAGGCTTCTAAATCAGCCAGGATAGAAGGAAATGAGAAAGAAAAGGATTTCTGGGGAAGGTGAGTTCTAAGATGAATCTTCAAGGATTAACAGGAGTTTGCCAGATAAAATGGGGACAAGGGAAAGGCATCCTAGACAGCATGAATTGTAGGATGTGGTCAAGAAACCACACACACACACACACACACACACAAACCCATCCTATTGCTGAAGGGGAGCAAAAAGGTAAGACTAGAGACTCAGGAAGACCTTGTAAGAAGCTACAGTGGTCCACACCAGAGAGGCTGAAACTCTCAACTGAGAGTAACAGCAGGAACAGAAAAGGAGACAGTCAACAAATATGGAAATAGGATGCATACAGTGGGTGAAATAAGGAAGGCATAATGGGATAATTCCAAGAAGGACGGAGAGGGCATATGGACACAAAATCCTATTTTTCTCATGTTGATCTTGAGGTGCCAAAGAGTTCCAGAGGGAGCTGTATATATTTGTCTGCAGCAGATCTCAGTGGTAGGTGTCTCGCAGTATTCATACATAGTTTTTTTCTGATACCTACCCCCACCCCATTCTGAAGCCAAGGACACTATACTCTTCTTTATAATATTGATCACACTAGTCAGTATTTGCTCAGTATTTATTTTTCCTCCTAAAATGTAAGGAATGTGTCTGTCGTCTTCACTGATATATCCTTAAGACACAGCAAATAGTAAGCCCTCAGTAAATATTTACTGGATGGTTGAATAATAAAGATTTCAAAGGGGTTGAAGTCATAGTACACGACCAGGAAAAAAAAAAAAAAAAAAAGCATCAGTGATGGCACTATCCACGGTTGGGCGGGGGGACAGTATCAGAGAGGATGGCAGAAAAGTCACCAAGGAAAGTACGGTAGATTGGAAGAAAACTAGGTAAATCTAAAGTCATCTCCACAGGGTCAAATGCTGCAGAGAAGCCAAGGGTCCATAAGATTTAACAAGCGTTGATGTCAATCTGGGTAGGAAGTCTCGGGAATATAGCAGGTGGAAAGAAAGTGAGGAAACCTGGAGGGAGGATGAGAAACAGGTGAACAGCCTTGGGACCCACTTAAAATATGTCAGAGGGAAATTAGGAGTAACAGCTGAGAAACGAAACTACCAGAAAGGGCCAACGGTGATGTGGGTGAAGTGAGGAGAGAGGCAGAGACAGGGGCAAGAGAAGTAGTCTGACTCACTTGGGGTTGCAGTCTCCCTAGAGGAAGTGGAGGGGCCTGAATCTGACACCCCGGGCATGGTGCGATCCCGCGGACTTCGGGGAGGAATCGAGTCCAGGCCCCTACTGCTACGGTGATCTTCACTTGCTGTCACCCACGAGCCACTGCAGCGGCTACCGCCTTCGTCGTCGCTAGCACCGGGGCCGCCGTCCTCCCTGGTTCTCTCCCAGGAGCTCCCGCAGCGGGAACCCTCGTCTATACTTTCTCCCTCCCAGAATCCACTGAGGCGGCGGCTGGCGTCTATGCTGACGCTCACCGCAGAGGAGTCGCTGGCCGCGTAGCCGCGATCTTCACTTACTCCGTCCCAGAAATTACTGAGGCTGTGGCCGCCATCGGCACTCCCTTCCTCCCAAGAGTCACTGAGGCGGCGGCTGTGGTAGTCACTGCTTCTCTCCCCGGAGTCGCTGGTTTGGGGGACTTCTCTGACCCCCTCCCAAGAATCACTGAAGCGGAGGCCGCGGTCTTCTCGGACCGGTCCCTCACAGTCACTAGTTTGGTGGCTACCGACTTCACTTAAATTCACGTCGCTGCTGCTGAAGCCGCGGTCTCCCCTTAATGTCTCCCAGGAGGTGCTGTAACAGCGGCCACCATCTCCCCTAACTCTCTCCAGAGGGACACTGCCAAGGTCTTCATTGACTCTTCTCGAGTCACTGCGGGAGAAGCTGATGTCTTCACATACTCTTCTAGAGCCCCTATAGAGGTGGCCGCCGTCTTCACGGATACTTCCCCTGTCTTCGCTAACTCTTTCCCTTAACTGGCCGCCGCTTTGACCATGTCGGCCGTTTGTCCTCCAAACGCGATGACTAGTGAGGCGGCCGCCGTCTTCGATTGCTACTCTCCGCGAGTCGCTCTGGCGGCGGCCGCCGTCAGCCGCTACCCTCTCCTCCGAGGTGCTTTCCAGCGTCCCGACTACAGCTAACCGGTTGTAGTTGCGGTGGTGCCGTTGCCTTGGAAACGGGTAAACTTCCGGCGTGCTGCGGTCATTTCCGGTTCCTCACGACCTTGCGTCACTTCCGGCCTCCCCTCAACCTTTTTCGAGGCTTCGCCTCTAGAGAAATCGGATGGTGGTGTGGGCTGGTGTTCCTGAGATTCCGCGGGGTCTCACATGCAGCCTGTCTAGGCCCCGTCTCTCTAACGGCCTGGCATCGATCACGCCTTCCATGGCTCAGCGACGCAGATGCGGGCTCCAGGACTGCAGTTTGCGTAGGTGACCTGTGTGGTGCGGGCCGGGCGGGGCCTTTCTTCGTCCTTGGCAAACCTAGTATAATTTTTCAGTGCTTGTTGGAACATTGGAGGAAATTTGTTCTTATCCTGTCATTTCACAGGTACTGAGAAAGACCCAAAGGAGAAGTTAGCTGCAGCCGCTTTCATTATTGAATGCTTTATTAGTGCCAGGCTCTTGGATAATTGCTTGGTACTTAATTCTGAGCATAATTGTGTAAGGTAGGTGTTAGCCCTGTTTTGTATGTGAGGCGATTCAAGGTATCAGTAATTTGCTAAAGCCAAACAGCAGGTAAGTTGTGGAGCCAGTATAAACACAGGTCAGTAGTCAAGACTGCTCCATGATTCCTGACTCTAACTCCTAGGTTCCCTTTAATGTAAAATGATACTTGCAGCAGTTTCGCTCAAATCTTTTATTTCTCCAACCTTATTATTTAACGGGTATTCTTCCATTCACTCTTTATTGAAAATACATGGTTCACGGGGCACCTAGCTACCTCAGTCGGTAGAGCACGGGACTCTTGATCTCCAGGTCTTGAGTTCGAGCCCCACGTTGGGCGTGGAGCCTACTAAAAAACGGAGACAGAGAAGGAATATGTGGGTTGGATATAATGCTAGCAGCAGACAATACAAAAATTAGAATTCTCTGCCCTTTAAGAGCATCACCCACCTTAATTGCCCTTTCATTCTTTTTTTTTTTTTTTCCATCCTCAGGGTTTGTTCCGTAAACACGTTTGGGATATTCCCCAGACCCTATCATTCCTCTCTTGAAGTACAGTGAATTGGCTTTCTTTAACTTCCATAGCCTCTTGTAATATTAGTAATGTTAACAACTGCTATTTGCTGAGTTCATGTGACTCTGGCACTTTATACTTTGTATTTGTTTTCTTATTCAATCCTTAACCTACCAGGACGGTATAGAGACAGAAAGGGACAGAAAGAGAAATAAAGCATCAACATTACTGCCTGAAGGTTCACAGCTAGTATTAAGTATCTCAGTTAGGTTTTCAACCTAGGTCTTTGATTTTGCTGCACATACTTTTCAAAGTCTGAATTTCCACAGACTTTATTAAACCACTTACCATATTACATTATAATGACTGTTTAATAGTTGATTTTCACCCCTACTCCCCAAGGACTCTGAGCTTCTGGAAGGTAAAGACCTTTTCATTATTCATCTTGGTGTTCCTGACATTTGGAATACTTAGTTCAAGTGGAAGGCTTAGTAATTGTGGTGGGGGTTCGTGGGTGGCTTGATCAGTTGATTGGTGGATGAACTGATAGACTGAAAATAAACTTTTCACACTTGGGAGGGAATTTGGGATTAGTCATCCCAATCCCCTTATTTTTAGAAATAGGGCAACTGAGGTGTTTTATCTTACCAAACACCTATTGAGTTACTAATAGGAGCAAGTTTCTATGCTAAATGATTTGCAAATAGTTTCAAACTTAATGTGTATTATTATTTCTGTTTTACAGATGAAGAAACTGCTCACATTTGGCCGAGATCTCATAAGTAGGAAGTGGGGAATTGGAACCCACTCTGACTCCAGATTAATACAGACTTTGTAGCCTGCATAGGCTACATAGGCTAATGGTAAAGGCTTCATATGTTGCTATGTTGTGTGGATAAACTCACTGAGGGTCAGCACATCCTTAAAAGATACACACATGGCAGGAAGGATCAGAAAAGAAAACAGAAACAGCAAAGAAGCAGAAAAAATAAGATCTCCCAAAATAAAAGGAATTAAAAATAAAAGATATTAATGAAATAGAAAATAAAATTAGTAATAATAGCTGTTGTTTGAAAAGAGTAGACACTTAGCAAATCTAAAGAAGAAAAGGAGAAAACAATTTTGGAAACAAAGGGAACATATTATGGATATTAGGGACCTCCAAAATTAGAAGTGAATTTAGCCTAGCCTTTTTTTTTTTTTTTTTTTTTTTTTTATAATGTTTACTCATTTTTGAAAGAGAGAGGGAGATACAGTCTGAAGCAGGCTGCAGGCTATGAGCTGTCAGCGCAGAGCCCGACGTGGGGCTCAAACCCACTAACCATGAGATGATGACCTGAACTGAAGTCAGATGCTTGACCAACTAAGCCACCCAGGCACCCCTAGCGTAGCCTTATATACTAATAATCTTGAAAGTTGACTTGGATAATTTTCTAGGAAAATACAGATTTCAAAAAATTGAAGAGTTAGAAAACCTTAATAAAGGAAGCATAAAAGAATGCTCTACATACCCCTGACAAAAGTCACCAGGAACAAAGCATAGAGAAGAATGTAGTATATCCCAGATATGAAGGTAGCAGAACTGTAACAGAATCTAAACAAGGATACTGGAAAAAAAAACCCAGCTCAGTGCCGCTTAGGAATATACCTGCAAAGAAATTAAGGAAACTAAGAAGCCACCAGTGCATTTAGAAAATAACATAATAACCAAGTTGGGTTATGGTCAAGGATGATCAACATTAGACATGTAATGAAAATTTCCTACGTTGAAGAAGAAAAACTATATAATCTTAATTGATATGAAAATTACTGATTTCTTAAAAATACAGTTCACATTAAGTAATAAAAGGAAGCTTGCTTAACTGGATGAAGGGTATCAACCAAAGATAAACAGCACACTTAATGGCATTGTTTAGGTTATCTGCTGTCATTCCTACAATTAAACATTGTTCTGAGAATTAGGGATCCACTGTAGTAAGGTAAGGTATGAAATTGGAAGGGAAGAAATTAATGTATATGATAATGTTTACCTGGAAATCTAAAACAACTAAAAAACCAAGAAACATTGGAAGTAAGATGGTAGGCTCTCAGAGCAACATTGAGATTTTTTATAAACCAAATAAACAACTTCTAAAGAACTATTCACATTAGCAGCAACAATGGTGAAATCTATCAAGAAAAAAGGAAAACCTACATCAAAACATAAAATTTCATTTATGTATGTTACAGAAAATCAAAATAAATGGAAAGAATGCTGTGCCCCTACATGAGTAGGCTCAGCAATGGAAAGATAAGATTCACCTCAGATTATAAGTTTTTTGCATTTTGAGGAAAAATACTTAACAATTTTTAGTGGAAATCAACAAGATGATTTTTATTATCTGAAGTTTTGGGGTTTTTTTTTTTTTTAATTTTTTTTTTCAATGTTTATTTATTTTTGGGACAGAGAGAGACAGAGCATGAACGGGGGAGGAGCAGAGAGAGAGGGAGACACAGAATCGGGCACAGGCTGCAGGCTCTGAGCCATCAGCCCAGAGCCTGACGCGGGGCTCGAACTCACGGACCGCGAGATCGTGACCTGGCTGAAGTCGGACGCTTAACCGACTGCGCCACCCAGGCGCCCCAGGGTTTTTTAAAGTTCATTTATTTTGAGTGAAAGCACAAACGGGGGAGGGGCAGAGAGAGAGGATAGAAGGAATCCCAGCAGGCTCTGTGCTGTCAGTGCAGAACCTGACATACCATGGATCATGACCTGAGCTGAAGGATGCTCAACTGACTGAGCTACCCAGGCACCCAACAAAATGGTTTTAAAGTTTCTCTGGAAGAATGTATGTGCAAGATTAACCAAAATGTTTTTTAAAAAAATACAATAACCCAAATAAATACACATCACAAGTACAAAGCTAGAGTATTTAGAACAGGGAGGTATTGGAATAGGACTGGACAATTCGATTAATGGAACAAACTAGAATTCAGAAGTAATCCCATGTGTATGTTCATTATAGAGGTAGCATTTCAAATACAGGAATGTAGGCTCTTCATTTCCATATACAAAAATTTAAGA